GATGCCCTGACGCCACTGGTCACAATATCCCCTGACACCTCTAGCTACAGTGTGCCCTGACATCTAATTACATGGAGCTGACACCTCTAGCTAAAGTGTGTCCTGACGCATCTAGCTACGAGATGCCCTGACGCCTACGGTCACGAGATGCCCTGACGCCACTGGTCACAATATCCCTTGACGCTGCCCCCATCCCACATGATGCCCTCATTCGCCCCTATTGTTTAAACAAATGTTATTTCCCATCCTGGATTTTCCTCACAGCGCCAAAACTTTGAAACCTAAGCTTCCCTTTGACAGTATTTTTATATATTACAAAGCTTTTTAGCTCTTCTACCATGTTATAAAAATGTCTTCTGGTCTTCAGTCGACTTCAAGGGCTTGATGTTTGATTGTTTAAACACACCAAATGAGCTGGCGACACGTTCTTGATCCTGGGATACTATCACCCCCTTTTCTCTCAGCCCAGTGCATTGATGGGGGGGGGGGGTCGGGCACGCAAACGTTACGCCCCCTGCCTCTACTGAACATGGCGTCAGGGCAGGGGCGTTACTACTCACATCTGTACCCGATGGGTGCTCTAGTTTTTTGAAGAGGAAAATAAAGCAAATGTAAAATAAAAAAGCCTTTAGAATTATACGTTTTTAAAATGAATATAAAAATTAGAAGAAGAAAAAATCTTGCTTTCAGTAATAAAAGCATGAGGTCACCCATTAGATCTCTTTCATATTTTTCACCATCCTGAGTCGAAACTCCCAGATGTGCATTTTAGCCTGTTTTCGCAACTTACTTAATTTTTTTAGTAATTTCCGATATCCGGAAGTGATACTTTACTCTATTTTCGGATTATAAATTCATATAATTTCAGTACCGTTTTATTAAGGTGAACGAAATTTCATACTAGATACGTCTCCAGTAACAAAGTTGCGAGTTGAAGTTGTAATATTTTTATTCCATCCTACTGAAAGTAACAAAACAAAGTTTCGGGTTGAAGTTGTCATACTTTTATCCCACCCCGGCAACAAAACGAGGCTAAGGTTTGTTTTGTCACATCCTCTGTTTACCTTTTGCTGGGCCGGGATGGAGCACGACGGACCACCGGGAGAGTGTTTCTCACGTCGTTACCACGGGCTATAGTACACCATCGAGCGTGGACCGCATACAATTATCTGCCGGGGGGCGGGGAATCCGTTACAACACCGTACCGAGATATTGACGTCAGTCTGGGGGTGAAGAATGGACGAGCTGTGGGTCTGGGGACGGGTTATGGGTCTGGGGGACGGGTTGTGGGTCTTGGGGACGGGTTGTGGGTCTGGGGGGCGGGTGGTGGGTGGTGGGTCTGGGGGACGGGTTGTGGGTCTGGGGGACAGGTTGTGGGTCTGTGGGACGGGTTGTGGGTCTGGAGGTACCGGTTGTGGGTCTGGGGGAACGGGTTGTGGGTTGTGGGTCTGGGGGACAGGTTGTGGGTCTGGGGGACGGGTTGTGGGTCTGGGGGAACGGGTTGTGGGTCTGGAGGTACGGGTTGTGGGTTGTGGGTCTGGGGGACAGGTTGTGGGTCTGGGGGACAGATTGTGGGTCTGGAGGTACCGGTTGTGGGTCTGGGGGAACGGGTTGTGGGTCTGGGGGAACGGGTTGTGGGTCTGGGGGAACGGGTTGTGGGTCTGGGGGACAGGTTGTGGGTCTGGGGACAGGTTGTGGGTCTGGAGGTACCGGTTGTGGGTCTGGGGAACGGGTTGTGGGTCTGGGGTACGGGTTGTGGGTCTGGGGGACGGGTTATGGGTCTGTGGGAACGGGTTGTGGGTCTGTGGGACGGGTTGTGGGTCTGGGGGAACGGGGCAACGGGTAGTTGGTCTAGAGGGATGGGTTGTGGGTATCAGTGGGGGGGGGGGTTGTGGGTCTGGGGGGACGTGTTATGTGCATCAGGGAGGGGGGGGGGGGGGGTTGTGGGACTAAGTTTACAAAAATGGACAGTTTGTGGGTCTGAGTTTATAAGAATGGACGGGTTTGTGGTCCCGTGTCTACCAAATTGTAAGACGTTGACAGTTGTAGGTTTGTGTGTAAGTGTTGTAGAGGTGCAGGATATGGTTGGGGTGTCGACAGTGGTTTGGGGTCTACAATGGTTGGGGGTGTCGCGGCAATGGTTGGTGGTGTCGACAATTGTTCGGGAGATAGAAATATTGGGGGGGGGGGGGGTGTAGATAAAGGTTGGTTGGGTTGGAGCAATTTTTTAGGGGTGTAGACAATAATTGCGGTAGGTAGTGTGTAGTGCAGGTTTGGATGAAGTGTAGTCAGATGTTTAGGGGTGTAGACAATGATTGTTATAGGTAGGGTGTAGTGCAGGTTTGGATGAGGTGTAGTCAGATGTTTAGGGGTGTAGACAATGATTGTTGTAGGTAGAGTGTAGTGCAGGTTTGGATGAAGTGTAATCAGATGTTTAGGGGTGTAGTTGGGTTACAGTTGGGTGGTGCAGACAAGTGTTGGGTAGGGTGTGGATAACGGTGGGGTGGGGGTCGTGTAAATATCAACCAAACACACGCAACGTATAGTGTAAGGTGAGATGGTGGCGCGCCCGTAGAGAGGGGGTGTGGAGGTGGGATCCTGTTATACATGAGGTGGCGAGTTTTTCTCTCGGCCCAATTGAGTTACTTCAGTGTATACATTCACAAGGGGTTACTTGAGGGGGTTACTTGAGTAGTGGTTACATCAGACTGGATGCTATTTAAGGTTACCTTAGCAAAGAAAAGCTTTGCCAGGAAAAACCCGTCGACCTGAAAAAGTTCAGGAAAAAGAAAAGTCACCACCTTGGGTAGACGGGAAACTAGCTCAAGTACCTGGAAAACTTTTCTTCGTGGCCAGAACAATACCAGCTGACCTAACGGAACTGATCCACATCGTCTACGTTTTGCTTTAAATAAATAACTACCTTAGATTCGCGTGTTCAAATGCTAACGTAATAAACCGGGTGTAATCTCCACTAAACTTTCTCGAATATTCTTATATAACACTATGGGGGATGGCAACTCGGGAAGTAGACATGACTTTTAATCCATTTTTAATAACTTAAACTTTTTAAAATAGAATAATATCTCGTAGAAAAAAAGAATAGCGCACCAAGTTAACGGCAAACAATGTATGTATAATAGTGCGGAATAGTAGTACTTTATAAATTCATTTTCGCTTTTTTTTTTTTTTTTTTTTTTTTGAGAACTCGGAAGTAGCGTAAATTAATACTTTCGGTCAACGTAAATTACTCAAAATTTGATAGAAGGCATAAAATTAGATTGATTTCTTACTTGTGAAATTTCATTTATCTATCAGACAGTACTCAAGTTATAGTCTTTTGAAAAATTGAAAGTAGAATAAGTTCCACTTCCGGTAACCGTAAATCGGTTAACAGTTAATACAGAACTACAAATTTGATATAATACTTTTATATCAAATTTCATCAACCTAGCTGTAACGGTACTCAAGTTATCTTGTTCAAAGACACACATACATACACACATACATACCCGCACACACAGACATACGGACAAAATTGCAAAACTGTGTTTTTCCGACTCGGGGATTTTTAAAATCTCCTTTTCGATTTTTTGCACGATTACAATACTTTCTATAAACATCGTATACGAGAAAGTAAAAAACGCGATTTTTTTTTCAAAAGCGCAGTTGTACTAGAATTAGCGTCTATGGTTAAAATTGCGTTGTGTCCAGTGGGAATAGATCAAGTAATATTTGAAGAATATTCTCTTTATATCTTGTCACCCAAACAAAGATAACCGTGGCAAATAGCAGACGGCTTGAATGGGTCACGCCTGCTGTTACTGCTTGTTCCAGATTTTTTGTTCACTTTCTAGTTGACATTGTTATGTTGGGTAACTGCCGTGTCATGTCATGTCATGTCATTAAATACGTTGTGTTGTCTAATTCAAACAAACTTTGTAAAAGTTTTATATACTAACGTTTCATTGTGGTGTCACCATCCCACCCCATTTCCCCCCCCCCCCTCCACTTTGCTTACTACTGTTTGATATTGCATATCACGATCATCAATACTAAGCATTTCCTTCATATAGGAAAAAAACTGTCTAGCTGATTAGGAATTAAAAACTTATTTTAATTTGCCTGCTCGAGAAGGTAGGTTATATCTATTTAAAAAGCAGCGAAAAAAATGTTCTTGAAATGCAAAGATTTTTCCATATCCAATCTACGGATATTCACCGAATTGTAAATACATACAATCAACTGGATGGAAAATGTTTTACTTTTTCAAGATATTTTGGCCTAATCAGGTTTAAGAACTCGATGTTATGAAAACCCCACTTCATAAAAAAAATCAGTAATTTGTACTCAAATTGTGTCGATATTATTTTTAAATAAAATTCAATTTTTTTTAACCACATGACCTAGTTTAGCCATTTTTGCTTTTAATTTCTGAGTTTTATGTAAACAATTATTAAATTTGGTTTAGCCTTTTTCTTTTTTTTTTTTTTAGCTATCGAAAATACTAAAAACCTCAGTAAAGTCTTACAAAAATCAAATAGTCAGATTTTTATAACCATGTTAATTTTAAAATAACATCGCACACGAGTTTTCATGTTTGAGTTGGCTTTTCGACTAATTTAGAGACTGTTCTCGAATAAGTCCATTTTACTCCATGTGTTCACTTAACACCAGCCATATCCTTTCAGTAGAGTCTTGCACATTGACCCAAACAATTCCGTTTTTTTACAGATGAAATATGAATCATCCAAATGTCTGTTATACAACATCAAACACGCAAATTAAAACAATCTGATCACACATCTACTACTAAAACAGACTTGTTTAATTGGTTTTCATTACCGTGTCATTCAGTAGAAAACTTGTGGCTACACATATTCCAGTTAAAACATTAAACAGCAGCTATTTATTGAAAGAAAAAACAACCCCCTTTCTTTTCTTTCTTCCTTTCGTTTGCCCGTTACGTCTGAAATCAAACAGATATTTTTTTCCCCTAGATCTGATGGGAGCCTTGACCTATAATGACAACAATGGGACCAGAGGAAACCCACTCTACAAGGTCACATCAAGGTAAGGCGAACCCCTGGCTCGGTCGCACTTCAAACATATTTCAAACTGCCGCTGCACTCTAGCACTCCGTGAACTTCTAATGCTCACATATGTTCATATAAAGATACGACATATATTGTTTCTGATGTAGAAAACGTTATTTCGTCTGTTACAGGAGACAAAGTGAATGACAGTCGCTGGAAAAGTCGGGCCGTGGACTTTTCATTGATGCATCGGGCGGCTACTCTCAACCACTGAACCACACGGAGACATTCCGGACTGTTTTCTCAACGCTGTCAACGTGTATCAACGCTAGACTCCGTGTCACACAACATTGGACGGTTTCTTCGTTTAATGTTTTAGTGTCAAGTTCCGTGGATCCTGGTTTTAGACAGACCGTACCCTAACAATCTGGTCGTATAAAATTCATCATGCATTGGTCTAGTTCCATCTGCGCCGTATCCTCGCTGGTCGTCATTGTTTTCGTCATGCCGCAGTCCAGTTTGTTCAAAGTGGGCGGGACGGCGGTGCCCGCGGGTCGGGAAAACTTCAACAAGACCCTCAGGGACCACATCATAAAGCAGCGGTGGTTTGAAAGGGTCAAGCAAATAATGAACCTGGGAGACCAGTCCCCCGCGACCAAAAGTACGAAAACACCTCGAGAGAACGAACAGTTCATGGTCACCAATACCCTGACAACTGACCTCTTGCCGAAGCAGTTAGAGTTATTCCAAAATGTTTATCATTCGGAAATTGTCGGTAAGTTGGGTCAATTACATCACTAGTAGAAATAAAGTTGTAGGCCTACATTTTTACAATGAATGCTTGTAGGCCTACATTTTTAATTGAAATATTTTAAGCAATGTTATCTTAACCTGTATCCTTTTATTTTGTTGTCGTATGTCTTTAGAAATAATTTGGGATTTCTTCCATACTTCATTCGCTACTCTCTATCGGTGTATATATATATATATATATATATATATATATATATATATATATATATATATATATATATATATATATATATATATATTTATGAAAGTCCATGATAGAAATCCAAGCGTCTAACCCTAATGTGTTTGTGTCTAACACACAACATTAACATAATCTCAGATTAAAAAGTAATAGCACTTTAAATGCACTTCAAAAGAAAGTCAACTGTTTTTGTTTATTAATTTTAATAGAGACAATTTAGACATGACTTTATGTTAGACATTTTTCTTATAAATCTTCCACTTCCTGTTCAAGTTTACCATGGTCACATAATTGGCATAGTAAGGGCGGTAATCTCGTGTTGCTTTTCTGTAGTTAAACATGTAAAAACATGGATGACGCGGACGAAATGTCGACAATAAAAATATGTATGACGTCAGATATAGGTTTGTTGTGTGCAAAGGGGGAAGTAAGTGGATGGGGGAATACACAGGTGGGGGAAAACAGGTGGGGGAATATATGGATGGGGGGGTCGAGATTTATGATAAAGAATGACGCAAGGATGGTAGAGACGTCAGTGGTTATGTATCTGTAAGGTAGAGACGCTGATGGTTATGGTATGGGATGGTAGGGACGCGATGGTAACGGGATGGGATGGTAGAGACGTCAGTGGTTATGTATCTGTAAGGTAGAGACGCTGATGGTTATGGTATGGGATGGTAGGGACGCGATGGTAACGGGATGGGATGGTAGAGACGTCAGTGGTTATGTAGGCCTATCTGGAAGGTAGAGACGCTGATGGTTATGGTATGGGATGGTAGGGACGCGATGGTAATGGGATGATATGGTAGGAAGATAATGGTAAAGGGATGGTAGGAACACTGGTGGTTATGGAATGGGATGGTAGGGACATTGGTGGATATAGGATGGGTTGGTCTGAACGCTGGTGGTTATGGGATGGGATGTCGTTGCATAAATGTTTCTCTCAAGTTTAATTAAGAGAAAAGTTTGATATAACATACATGCACATCGTTTTCTTTCGAACAGACTTTCAGCTAGCTCTCTATAGAACATTCTAGCACTCATTTCGCTGTAAAACAGACTTTCACTTAGTTCTCGTAAACAGACTTTCGTTTAGTTCTCTGTCGAACAGACTTTCAGCTAGTTCTCAATAGAACACTCTTGCACTCATTTCGCTGTAAAACAGACTTCCACTTAGTTCTCTTTTGATGCCTTTATACTGGACTCTTTACTAACGGACGTTAAGTGCTAGTATCAACACTAACCTCACCTCAGTCCTAAATGTATATCTAACATCCTTCCTAATATCGCCTGAACGAGATTTGCTATGTTTGTTTAAACTGACGTACAAAAACTGTCTTGTTAAAATTTACGAATTTATAATTTATTTTTGGTAAAAAAAAAAAAAAAACTAGATCAAGGCTACTAGGGCAAAGGTCATGACCTCTAGTTTATTATGACATTTGTCACCTTAATGTTCCAGATGTTTTGGCCTATTTTATCGTGGGACGCCGCTAGCCTTGTTTTTATTGTCAACGTTTGAATACCAGATGTTCGCTGGTACCTACTGCTTGGCTTGATGTTTGAATACCAGATGTTCGCTGGTACCTACTGCTTGATGTTTGAATACCAGATGTTCGCTGGTACCTACTGCTTGATGTTTGAATACCAGATGTTCGCTGGTACCTACTGCTTGATGTTTGAATACCAGATGTTCGCTGGTACCTACTGCTTGATGTTTGAATACCAGATGTTCGCTGGTACCTACTGCTTGATGTTTGAATACCAGATGTTCGCTGGTACCTACTGCTTGATGTTTGAATACCAGATGTTCGCTGGTACCTACTGCTTGATGTTTGAATACCAGATGTTCACTGGTACCTACTGCTTGATGTTTGAATACCAGATGTTCGCTGGTACCTACTGCTTGATGTTTGAATACCAGATGTTCGCTGGTACCTACTGCTTGATGTTTGAATACCAGATGTTCGCTGGTACCTACTGCTTGATGTTTAAATACCAGATGTTCGCTGGTACCTACTGCTTGATGTTTGAATACCAGATGTTCACTGGTACCTACTGCTTGATGTTTGAATACCAGATGTTCACTGGTACCTACTGCTTGATGTTTGAATACCAGATGTTCGCTGGTACCTACTGCTTGATGTTTGAATACCAGATGTTCACTGGTACCTACTGCTTGATGTTTGAATACCAGATGTTCGCTGGTACCTACTGCTTGATGTTTAAATACCAGATGTTCGCTGGTACCTACTGCTTGATGTTTGAATACCAGATGTTCGCTGGTACCTACTGCTTGATGTTTGAATACCAGATGTTCACTGGTACCTACTGCTTGATGTTTGAATACCAGATGTTTGCTGGTACCTACTGCTTGATGTTTGAATACCAGATGTTCACTGGTACCTACTGCTTGATGTTTGAATACCAGATGTTCACTGGTACCTACTGCTTGATGTTTGAATACCAGATGTTCGCTGGTACCTACTGCTTGATGTTGTAATAACCAGTTTGTGTACACAGTCAAGTGGGGAGGGGGTGGATACCAGAGGCGTAGCGAGGGGGGTGCGGACCGCACCGGGTGACACCATTTAGGGGGGTGACACCAAGGCAAAAAATAGTAAAATATATAGAGAAAAATTTGAGGGGGGGGGGGGGGTTGCAAATCGAAAGTTTGAGGGGGGGTGCAAATCGAAAGTTCGAGGGGGGGGGTGCAAATCGAAAATTGAAAGTTTGTCGCCTGATAGAGTCGCTACGCCTCTGGGGGTGACACCATTAGGTGCCGCACCGGGTGACACCCCACCTCGCTACGCCTCTGGTGGATACATTCAGTAACTAGCTGTGACTTTAATACTAAAATTTAAGCCGTGACTTTCTTTGTAAGCAGTATATCCAATATATGACGGCAAATACTAAGAGGCACACGTTAGCCCACATTCAATGCCCACGTGATGCCGTGGGGGCTTCTTGACCTGCGAGTTATCGAAATGAAAACATTTGACATCGAGGTGACTTTTTTTTTCTTTTATGCGACGAGGTGGAGACTTGATGGAGGGCTGGGGCCACTGACAAAACGGCCCAGACAAAACGGCCTAGACAAAACGGCTCAGACAAAACGACCCAGACTAGTTAATTTAAAACTCAGTTTTTATTTAGTTCCTGTGGCACAAATACGTCTTAAAATTGTATTATCTTTTGACTTCCAAACTTTTTTTTTTTCATTTTTAAACTATTAGAGTTTCTCGGTACTAGTTAATACATCTAAAATGCTTTGTACAACAATATATAGCTAATCAAGCACAAATGTGAAAGGGAAATAACCATCAAGGGATTATCCTTCAATAAGGTCGCGGTTTTTGAGAATTTTTAACTCCCCCATCCCCATCCTCATACATTGTCGTTAAAAGCCAGCTCCCCCCCCCTCCTAAAATGGCGTCACACCTCAGCCCACAAACCATTTTTTCGATGTTTAGTTGTCCATTCACGGGGATAGTATTTCATGACAAAAATTAAGAAGAAGATGGTTTACATTATTTTTCTAATTAAAACCATGCAGTCGTCTGACCGACTGTATTGCACGTTTGGAGGGAAATGTTGCTGTGCAATAAAGAATCGGGATAGACAAGCAATGTGCAGTGGGGAATGTGACTCATGATGGTATATGTCCGTTTAGTCTATGTTGGTCTATGACCGTCTATTCTATGTTGGTCTAAGACCGTCTAGTCTATGTTGGTCTATGACCGTCTAGTCTATGTTGGTCTGAGCCACGACAAGAAAATGCTATCTATAAAAGATGTGTGTAAAAACCTACCTTGGACCATCCAGCACATAACTAACTGACACACCGGTGGGCGAGCGCTGACAAATGCGCTATGTGACGACAAGATTCGATGTCTTGGGACATGTTACCGCTGCACTGATTGCATGTCTGTGTCAGTCCGTCAGGACTATTTATCTTGTTTCCTTGGTGACGAATCGCGGCTAGGTAAGGGAGATCACTTCCAAAAAAGGCTTAAGAAAATAACTGGAATTTGCGCAAGTTTATTTCAGTTAGGTTATAGATTACCAACCTCTCATGACAAATGACATCAGAAGCCAACCAAATCTCATGTTAAATGACAGCAGAAGCTAACCCATCATGACAAATGACTTCAGAAATCAACCTCTCATGACAAATGACACCAGCAACCAACCTCCCATGACACATGGCATTAGAAACCAACCCCCATGACAATGGCACCAGACACCAAGCAAATCTCATGACAAATGACATCAGAAGCTTACCTCTCATGACACACGGCATCATACACCAACCTCTGATGACACATGACGTCACACACCAACCTCTAATGATACATGACGTAACCAGTGTAACCTCAGATTTTGCCTGGATACCAAAGGTCCTTATAGTGGAGAACTCCCCTCTAAAACAATGTCCCCATCTTTACCTCACCCCCCCCCCTTCTCAGTCTGCCAGATACAGCAGTCAGTGCCTTGTTAAATCTTCACTTTATCTTTACCAATCTCTTAAATGCCCCTTTTGTTCTTGTTATAGTATTGTGTTTAGTATTAAACCCACAAAGTTTTGACTGTAAACATAATTTACCTAAATTAAAATAAAACTACCTAAATCAAACGTCCAAGTAAAAATTATCCACATTCATCGTTTGATTTGTAGGTCAATCATCTGTAAATGTTAACGAATTCATCATGGGGGACTAGGCTTTCAGCTGCATGAGTTTGTATCACCAATTCAATAAAACAACACGCAATGATCAAAA